TTGTTTGTTCCAAAGAGAAACTCGTGTAGAATGACAGAAAAAAGGATTTTGAAACTCATTTTCATCATCAAACAACTACCAAGGGATACACTGTCCTCTCGAATTAGTCAGGCAGTCTTGTACCTCAGCAGTGCCCCTGCAAACCAGCCCTCTGCACCACCCTGATCTCTGTCACAGCTGGCCAGTCCTGCTCTCTGTCAGAGATTACATCCACACCATGAACTCCAGGAAAGACTGGGCTGGGTCTGCACTTGGGTGGGAGATGCCTGCCACATTCTACAGCTTGGGTTTTGAAGAGGTAAATTATGACTGCTCTTCTTCCTCTCCAAGTGGGATTGATCCAATGATCCAAAATTGCCAGTAACTGTATATCCATCTTCCTACCTTGAATTAATGGATGATGTGAAAATAAACTCTCTCCCAGGCTCCAGTAATTCCCATAGATTTCACTGAGAATGTTTTGTGGTTTTCCAGTTCCCTTGAGGGAATCAGGATCGGGAAGATCCTGATTTTTCAACCAAGTGACACAGGCTGCAGTTCATTTAAGGCACACACAGAGGTATTTGCAGACTTAAAAGTGTCTCCAGAGAAACACTGCTGGAAGGCAAATGTGGAAGGCAGTAGGAATACCTGCACTATTTATTTCCAGAATATAAATTACGTAATTGAGACAGGAGAAATTAGGAGTTTATGTCTTCTACACAGCCTACAGAGAGAAGTGAGGCCACTTTTGGGTTCTGAGGGGCAAGTGGAAGCAGCTTAGAACAGTTTTGCTGAGTGCCTGGCACAGGAAATAAAGTAATCCCTCAGTGTTCATCTTAGAAGTGAATATGTCAAGGTGGAAAGATTACAAACCCCATCTGAAAAAGGAAATATAAATATATGGGTTCTGATGAGGGAAAACCGAAAGTGAAATTGTCAGGTAGAATTCATCAAGCACAAGAAATGTCTCAGGCGCTACAACACATAAAATATTGGAAAAGCACAATCAGGGAGCACAGCAGGTATCATGTGTCAAAGGAACTTCATTGCTTGGGCTGATGACTAACACCACTTACAGAGAAATCAAGCTCAGCATGCCAATGAAACCTGACAGTGAGCACATCTCAGAGGCTCTGATTCGTAGGGCTGCCAGAAAAGTGGTTAGCAAGTGCCTTCAGAGGCTTCTGTTCAGAAATCCTGTCAATCAGCAGAGTTAGTAAAGAGTTATTTAACAGTCGAGACAACTGTTTGTGCATTTTCATACCTGGATAAATCAAGACAGGCAGGAAAGCAAATGCCCATTTCTTCCTTCTGCTTCTCACACCGCTGCCCTGAGAAGGGGCTGAACAAGAGGCAGTGCCATCAATGCCTCCCTTTCAAGAGGCAAAAGAAAACACCAAAACAAACCTGTCACTCCTATAGGCCTGTTTTTACCCAATTTCATGTGATTTACAGGCCTTTTTTATCTGTTATTTTCTGTGCACTTTTTGAACCTCCACGTGTGGTGGGGCTATAGTATGCCATGGCAGCAGCCCAGTTGCTGAAGCCCTGAAGTCCAAAAGCCAAAACGAAAGTGTTTTCTTGTATCCTTCCACTTGGAAACGTAACACATTGGTCTGAGCTCCTTCCCCCACTCCTCAGGGGTTTTAACAATGCTTTCCAAGTGAGTACCAAGTGTAAATGAAGCCTCAAACCATTCTGAGTATTACACACCCTGCACCATCATATTTGCCAATTTAAGGAGCTGTACCTCAGTATCTGCAGAAACAGCTCTACTACCCCTCAAATTTTCTGAGATCAGGATGCTTTTTATGTGCAAAAGGCTCTGCAACGTACATTTCCTATTACTCTGCTTGTGCTAAAGATCAGAAAGTCAGATAAACTCTATTTTCTTTCACTTCTCCCTTTCCAGATAGTACTGAATATAATGTAAAGCCCAAACCTCAGCAACCCATGGCATCCTAAGAATTACTGCTTGACATTATCCTTGCAATTCCAGTAAATATTAAATTGTGACATGTTTTTTGATGGTCTGTAACATCAATCACAGATGACATTAATACAAGTGTCTGACACAGCATTTGCAGCACTCTGTCCGAGCCACTTTCTTCCTCTTTTCGCTGTTATTTCCTTTGCCATTTTTCTGAGATTGGTGCTATTGAAGAGCTGCAGGCCTTTGCTATTATTCTGTACTCCATAAAAACTCAATTATTGGAGCCTGATAGCCTGCCTGGATTACATGAGGACAAAGAAAGGCCCAGCAGGAGGAAAGCATGGCCAGGTGACCCTCTGATACCAGGGAGAGCAGCAGAGCCCCCTCCGGCCCCCAGGAAAGGTAATTAGGTAGAGAGGAAACTTCTTTTGGGTTTTTTGAACTATTTTTGCTCTATCAATTGAAGGGAAAGAGAAGAGGATAAAAAGGGGGGTTCAGCAAGGCCAAATGCAAAGTCCTGCACCTGGGTCAGGGCAACTCCCGGTATTGATCCAGGCTGGGGGATGAAAGGAATGAGAGCAGCCCTGGAGAAGGATTTAGGGGTGCTGGTGGATGAGAGGCTGGACATGAGCCAGCAATGTGCCCTGGCAGCCCAGAGAACCAATTGTATCCTGGGCTGCATCCAAAGCAGTGTGGGCAGCAGGTGAGGGGGGGGTTCTTCCCCTCTACTCTGCTTTGGTGAGACCCCACCTGCTGTGCTGCCTCCAGCTCTGGGACCCCCAACATAAAAAGGACATGGATCTGTTGGAGCAAGTCCAGAGGAGGCCACAAAGATGCTCAGAGGGCTGGAGCCCCTCTGCTATGCAGACAGGCTGAGAGAGCTGGGAGTTTTCAGCCTGGAAAAGAGCAGGCTCTGGAGAGGCCTTCCAGGGGCTAAAGGGGATCATAAGAAACATGGGGGCAGATGTTTCAGCAGGGCCTGATGGCACAGGAGAAGGAGTGATGTTTTTAAACTAAAAGAGGGTGAATTCAGACGAGAGATAAGGAAGAAATCTTTTGCAGTGAGGATGGTGAGGCCCTGGCACAGGTTGCCCAGAGAAGCTGTGGTTGCCCCATCCCTGGAAATGTTCAAGGCCAGGTTGGATGGGACTTTGAGTGATCTGGTCTAGTGGAAAGTGTTCCTGCCTATGGCAGGGGGATTGGAACTGAATGACTCCAAAATGTCCCTTTAAATACGAAGTATTCTATGATTCTGTCATTCTATGGAAAAGTATGCTTTAGGAAAGTTCTATTAAAAAAAACCACAAAAACCAACCAACCAACCAAAAAACCTAGCTATTATTTAAAATTACGAGTTTTTTCTATTTGCATAATTTTATATGTGTATTATATAATTTTAAAATATTCATATAAAATGTGCTATACTTCATATAAAGGTATGCATTTACATATAATTTAATTCTATTTGTTGATGCTTGGTTGTCAGCAAATGGAGAAATAACAGAGCTTGGCACAAGCTTTTAAATAAACCCCTCAATCCATAAATTATTTTTATGATAACTTCTACCCCTTGGCTCCTTTTCCCTGGTCAGACACTAATGGTGTGAGGAAGGAGATCAGAAAGTGGCTTAAAGTGCTCAGCTGGCAAAGAGGTCTGTTGAACCACAAACAGAAGCTTCAGGTTTGAAAACTGTTGGTTTTGATTAATATTAAATCTTTTTCTCAAATTTCAGTTTCTATAAAAGCTTACTTAAAATGAAATGTAAATTAGAAGACAACTTGAAACACAATATTAAAGTATTTTACACCAAAGTTGTCAAAAGCTGACATTTTCAGAAACACATGGAAGCTTATGTTGACTAAAGTAATGTAATCAATCAAAATTAACAAAATACTCTGATCCACAAATAAGAAATACTTATTTCTCCAGCTTTTTATTCCTTTCCTTCCCTTCTTCCTCCCTTCCTTCCTTCTTTCCTTCTTTCCTCACTCCCTCTCTTTAGTGGAAAAGCCTAATTTAAACTACATTTTATTATTTTCAAAGGGTAATCTGCTATTTCTGAATACAGAATGATCCAAACATGCTCTTCCAGAACAGTTTGGCTATCAATGTCAAACACAAACCCAAAACCTGGAAGGTCAATGGCCAGCCAAGAGCTGGGCTATTCCAAGGAGAGGACAGTAAATCTGGGTATCTTTATTTTTTCACCAATCCTACTCAAGAGACTTCCAGACTCTTTGAGAAAACTCTCCAACGACGTTTTTGGTTATATGTGAAGCCACAGTCCAAAACCCCTGTAATTGTATTTGGAAAACAGGTGGGAAAGGAAAGGAACTTACTGCTGACAGCAAGCAAGTGTGAGGAGGTGATGCGTTTGGATGTGATTTAGGGGGTTGTTTTAGAACAGGGGTTATGGATGAGATTTACACCCAAGCACTCAAAGAAGGAGATTTTCACACCTTTTCTTACCGAGTTCATTTTCTGCCAGCTCATTAAGTTGAGTCAGCTCCCCGAGGAGCCCGAGAGGTGTCAGTCACTCCCTCAAGCCCAGACCTGCAGCTGGGAAGAGGACTGCTTTGCAGGCAGCCAATTTAGCCAGGTTTGGCCCAGGGACATGCCTAAACAACCCCCTGCCCAACTCCCAGCTGCTCCAAAACCCAATTCCCACCATCCCATCTCTCCGAGTCTGACCCAACCTCCCTGGCAAGGTAGGGAGGGACTGGGCAGCTGACATGTCACCAGCGCTGATGCCACAGGTTCCCCTTCCAGCCTGTGTTTTTTTGATGTTTTGGTTCATGAACAGAACACCCTATTTAGCAACAGAGGAGACAACGCTATAAACGCCACTTATTTTTGTTATTATTTTCATGCATCAGATCGCCATGCCACTGCAGCTGCGGCGGGGCGGGGGGAGTGGGAAGGACTGGTTTGAAGGCAGGGAACAAAAAAAAAAAAAAAAAAAAAAAAAAAAAAAAAAAAAAAAAAAAAAGCACGGTTTCCACGGGGAGCCCCGGCTCCCGGAGGGATGAAACAGCTCCCGGCTGGGAGCGGGGAGGAACGGGGAGGAGCGGGGCGGGGCAGAGGAACGAGAGGGGCTGCTTCCACTGCTCCCTCGGTAAGTGCTGCCGCCGGCATCCTCATCCCCATCCCCGGGCAGACCCTGAGACCCTTTCCACGGGCAGGGCTCCCCGTAGGCTGTACTGTCGCCTCTCGCCGCTCCGGGTGGGATAGGGAATCCCTTTAGCAGGCTTCCCCCAGGCAGATCCTATGCCCCCTGCCCAAAGGGCAAACACGCCCAGATAGTGTCTCCCAATCTGGGCAGGGCTTCCCCCGCTCCTTTCCCCACCCCCGACACAGACCCCGGGATGATTCCCCCCGCCCCGGGCTGATGCAGGGGCAGATGTGCTCTCCAGCATCCTCGAGGATCCTACCGGTGGCCGAGGGCTTTGCTTCCCGGAGGGTTGGCGCTCTTACCGCTCGAGTTTTGGAATTTTTTTGCCCCCAAGGGGTTGGTTTTGGCACCCCGGGGCTCGGGATTTGCACCCCAGGTTTTGGTGTTTTTGCTCTCAGGGGTTGGGGCTCTGGCCCCCCCAGGGCTTGACAGTTTTGCAGCCCAGGGACTGTGTTTTTTTGCACCCAGAGGGTGAGGCTTTTTCCTCCCCAGGGGCTGGGGTTTGGCACCCCGACTCGGTCGCTCCCCTAACACCAAAGGGCACCCCCACGTTTGCAGCGCGGGTTTAACTTTGCCTTGAGTTTTACTGCCGTGGTTACGCTCCAGTCTCTCCTCTCTCCTCGGAGCAGTGGTTGCGACAGACTTGCTCTGTTTGTGGAAAGAGTGCCCGTCTGCCAGGGGGCGATTCCAAACCGCTGTGCCGGCTCTGGATGCGGGTTCCATGCCCTGCGTTGGGGCAGGATCCGCCAGCCCCGCCCTCAGCCGGGCTGGGAGCAGCTCCGTGGGGAGGGATCCGGGAGCCCTGCGAGCTGCTCTGAGCCCTTCGTACCCTGCTGATGAGCAACATCCACGCTCCGGGCTCAGGGATACTGCCCAGCTGCTTCAAGCCGGCCGGCTGCGTTCAGCTGTCAGCTTTGAAGGTAAGGATATTGTGCTTTGCCGGGTTTCCAGCCCCGGGGCTGCCAGAGAGGCCGTAGGAGTTGTTCTGTGCCGATTCCACATCTTTAAATGTGGGGGAAGAAACTGTTCGTGCCCTGAGAAATGCTGCCCTTCAGACGGGAAAGTTGGATAGAGAGGGGCAGAAGGAAAGTCAGGGGCTCAGTTGCTGCGTGGCCTCCTTGAATGCAGATTGTACAGGTGGAAGCATCCCCAGGGATGTTCCTGCTCCTTTATCACCACACACAGCCTTGCACAGTAAAGCACTGTTTAACAAATTACTGAGCTGATGCAGTTTCAGTCTCGAGGAGGAAGAGGAGGGAATTATGTTTGAGGTCCTGGGGTAGGTGTGATTTTCGAACCTGCTGCCATACGTTGGTTCATTCTAGGTTTAGCAGAGGAGCAGAGTCTGACAGCAAATACATTCCCAGTAATATATTTCCACTTTTCAACATTCCTGATTTTAAAGTGCAGTCAGCCTTGAGATTGCAGAGCTTGTTTCTTTTTATTCCTCCCTTGCTGTCAAAATATACCTTTTACTGATGAAATTAACCTTTTGCTTGGGATTTTTCTGCTGAATAAATTAGGTCAAACTTTCTGGATATTAAAGGGAAACTGAAATGATGGGGTTGCTTTTCTCGGGCAACCTCAGAGCAGAATCTAGCCCATGAGTTTTTTTTTGAAGGGAAGTAAAACTATAATGTCCAGATAAAAACAATGCAAACCCTGAGACATCTGAGATCCCCAGGAAACCTGGGATGATCCCACATCATGGTACAACTGGGAATTTATCCTACTGGTTTAAGAGGGCTCCTTACAGAAAAGACTGAAAGACTGATGTTGTAGAAAGACTCTGGGGTATATCAGCAGCACAACCCCTTGGGCTGCTGCAGCTCATGGGAGAATTTCAAAGCTGCAATGTTTTAAGCTGTGGAAGTACATCCCTGGGAAGGATGGCACATCCTGCTTTGTCCCAGCAATTTCCACAGAGATGTGAGGATTGTTTCATCCCCCACTTTCCTGTATTAACAATTCTCCAGGTGGAGAAGCAGCACTTCTCAGTAAACAGGGACTGTAAGTGAGCTTTCAGGGCACCTCTGCCTGGAGATCCTTGAAGAGGAATCGGGAGCAGCAAGACCCTGTTGTCTACACTCTAAATGAGAGTTCAGGGTCCAGGCCTGAAGTTTCAAGCATCCATCACCCCTTCCTTTTGCCATCAGAGAAGTCATGGATGACAAATAAGGACAGCCGTATTTCCAGTCCTCAGACTGTCTTTTGTGTTGACCAAAGAATAGTAAGACAAGGAAGTATTTCCCTAATGTTTTTTGAGTGTGGGGACATCTGTCTCCTGGTTTTGTTCATCATGGGGTCATACTCCTGGATATATCCTGCATTAAGGAACCTCCTGTGAGTTTTTCACTCGAGAAGACCTTTTAACCCAGGCTGGTGGCTAAGATGGCACTCCAGGAGCACAGGGCTCTTGCGAAGAGGAACTCTAATAACCGTGTCTAATTCTACTTAAAGTCTGAGAGTGGTGTGTATTTACAGAACAGTAGCAGGGCAGTGTTCTGTAAGTAACGATCTGCTTTAATTAGAGTTGTACTAACACTGATACAGACTTAATGACTGTCTGGGAACAGTTGTTGTTTGCAGGAAAAGGAAGATGTCGCTTTGAAACCTTCTTGTTTCAGAGTTACATCTAAAAAAAACCCAAATAATTAATCCAGACTTCTCCTCTATCATTCTCATCTATCCACGGCCACAGACCAAAAATCTGACACTGATTTTTAAAAACCTTAAGACCTGGTGTTTTACACGTGAATGTCAGATTGTAAGGTTTTAAACCATAGGGTTTTTGTCCAACCTGATTTTTGCTGTTCATGTCTTAGAAGTCCCATGGTCTTCTGGGAGAATTTGGGGCTGACTGGGTGGTGTAGACTGGTTAGGGGTCATCTTGAGGTGGGAATCAGAGGGCTGTTTCCAGACCTTGCAGAGGTCCCAGAGGTGTGAGGACACCAGCATCTCCTGGCAGATATGAGAGATGAGCTGGGAGATGGGCACGGAGCGTGGAATGGCCCTTGCAGTGGCAGGTTCTGGAGCTTGGCTGGCTGTGTGGCCACGGGTTGTCTCCATGTGGTTTTCCCAGCTGGCAGTCACTGTGCTGTCTGTGCAGACCGTGCAGGGGGGAGAATGGGCTGAACGGTTTTCCTGCCAGGAAGTGTGGCTGCATTGAAATCCAACTGTTCTGCAGGAGCTCATCCAGCCTGGTGACATCCTCAGTGGGGCTGTTACAAAGAGTAGAGCAGATTATCCCATTTCCTGTCAGTAACAGAAGAGCTGGAGACAGGGTGCTTTATTTTATTTTTATGGGGTGTTACCAGAATGTGAAACGTCGTCCAAGGAACATTTTCATTAAGACTGATGTACTTAAGACACCCTGCAGACTTCTAGCAGTGCTGGCTCAGGGGTGTTAACACAAGGATGATGTCCAAAAAACATCCCTGTTCATCCCAGCTTGGCTGAGTAGAGGCTTTCTTTCTTAACTTCTTAGTTATTTCTAGAGAGCTTTAGTTATTTCTTGATTTTTTTATTTTCTTTTTTTGCTTGAAAAAAAGGAAACCACTACATCCAGCAAATAAATAGAAGTTAAGGAAGGGAGCTGAGGATTTTGAAGGGTGAGTGGGGTGCATGTAATGCATGATTACATCCAAGGGCAAGGTCAGTACTGCTGTTAGAAAAAGCAGCCCAGCTTCACAGTCACAAAGGAGTGCCTGGAAGAAGTCAGCAGGTAGGAGTTTTTGAGGTTTGGTCCGTCCCAGAGGCTCAGAAGAGCAGGAGGGATGGACAGGAATCCTCCATTGCTTCTGTACGAGGAATGAGCAAATTGTCAGAGGCCCCTCAGCCTGACTAAGAGAAGAGGGGGCTGGGGGATGTGACAGAGGTTAAAGAGCCCACCAGAGCCATGGAGAGAGTGGATGGGGATTGTTTGCATGATGTGACTTCCAAGGACCAGAGGGCACTGAATGAAACTGGCTGGTGACAGGCTCAGAACAAGCAAAAAGAGGTGTTTCTTTGCACAGTGCATAGCTGAGCTGTGGGAGGTGTTGCTATGGGAGGCCATGGATGTTAAAACTTGCTGGGCCAAAGGGGAAGCAGGACAACTTCATGATTTAGGAAGTTCTCAAAACCATCTTTAGAGGTAATTCTGGATCATAGGCTGCTGGAAGGAAACACAGATACTGGGGATGTTTTGCTGCATGCTACCTTGTTCTTACCATGCTCCTAAGGCAGAGTTTGGCCACTGTGAGATGAGACATGTAGGACTAC